GTTACCTCTTCAGAGGGGAGAATGTTGGAGAGGAGGGAGTGAGTATGGATTTGATAAAAACACTTTATATACATGTATGCAACTCTCAATAAAGCTTTTGTAAAAGTTAAAAAATTAATAATAAATAAAATATTTAAAAAAAAACGAAAAAAAAGAATTAGCAACTCTGGGCTAGGGAGATGTCTCAGCAGATTAAGGCACCTGTTGTTCCAAGCTGGATGACCTGAGTTCAGTCCTCAGAGCCCATGTAGTAGAAGGAGGGAACAGACTCCTGCAAGTTATTCTCTGACTTCCACATACCTGCCATGGTGCATGCACACACAAATAAATAAATGTAGAAAAAGTTATTGGCATCTGATTAAAATAATCAAACGGTATTCAGCAGAACTGTGTGACTAATGAGTGAGGGCACGAGTACACAAATGCAGACATGTTGGGGCTGCAAGGGTGGAGTATACCAATCAGTAGAACCCACAGTAGATGATAAAACACACAAAGAGAGCCAATGTCTGGATAGAGCAGGAGGCACTGGGAAGACACTGGCTCTCAGGATGCCTTAACAACTAAAGTCAGAACAGGCTGTGGGAGGAGACAGCTGTGGAGGTAAGAGAAGGCCAGGTCTTCCTTGCTGTATTAGCTGAGCTAAGGAATCTCAACTTGATCCTTATGACAGGGACTAGTCTGTGAAACATGTCAAACATGAATGGGAGAGACAAATGTCCAGATGCACAGCTACACTTTCTATGACATGGTGGATGGGTGGGAACATTTATTTAGGGTTGAAGGTAGCATGCTGTTGTTGCAGCGGCTTGGGTCACAGTGGGGGATTCTGCACCAAGGAAGTAGATGGACTGGAAGAGTCTGGGAAACCAGTCTGCCGTTTGAGTGAGGAGAAGAGATTAGGTCTGCATTCCTCACAGAATTGAAGGTTTGTGGAAGCTGCATCAAGCAATAATTTTCATGTAAAAGGTAACATCAGAGTATGTTCAGAAGCAGTAACTGAATCTGTGTGTATGTGTATGTGTGTGTTCTGTGTCCATGTACATATATATGTGCTTGAGTGTGTGGTATTTGTATATGGTCTATGTGTGTACATACATGTATGTGTACATATATGTTTGTGTGTCTCCTGTCTCTGTGTATATGTGTTTTTATGATGGTAGAAAACACCTTAAAATTATCTAACCCTTAGTCTACATATTCATTGCAATCAAAATTAATCTCACCAGTGGGTTTTTCTCCTTTGTAAAAAAGTAAAACACAGACAGGTAAAAGAACACTTTAGTTGGCTGTGCAAGTTGGTTACACGTCTCACTGTGTCATCCTGTGTTGTCAGCATCTGGAGGCAGACTCAGCCTCTAGTCTGGGGACTTTCTCACTAAGCTTTGTATGTCTCCTATGTTGATCTGTATGTTTTTGCTAGAGAAATCACTTGAGCTACCCTTTTCTTCCTTTTCTCTCTTATAAACTTGTTGACTAAGCCACACACAAGAAAATGTGCAATAGATCTTGTATTCCCTACCTCTGCTAGGAGAAAAATGACACTAACAAGATATATGAAGAATTATTCAAATCCAGGATAAGGAGTGAAGACAGAACAAGAGAAACAGAACAAAGAGTTAGAGTCCATAATCCTTGCCTCAATGCACACAGTTTCCAGCAAAGAAATAATGTGCATTCCTCTATGATCAATTTGTGTTTTTGATTCGTGTGGTTAAAGAAAACTTATTCACCGAAATTGAGACAGACAGGTCAATGCAATTTGGGTCTGGCCTCTTAACCTGTCTGAGTGCTACTTACCAGAATTGGAAATACATTGAAGTTGTAAGCACCTGGCCTTGTCCCTTGGGCATGTTCTGTCTCATGGGTTCAAACAGTAGACTACACATGTGTTTGGGGCCTGGAACCTGGTGTGGTTTAGGGAAGACAATGGCTGACATGGCATGTTTCTAACCTGATACATTTCTCCTTATTTCTTTGTCTAATCCATCACCCACTGTCATTCCTTCAATATAAAGCTTTGTGTGCATGTCTGTGTGTGTCAGTGTATATATGTATGTTTGTGTGTGGGGAGAGTAGTGTTCTTGGAAGCGCAGGTGTGTGTGTGTGTGTGTGTGTGTGTGTGTGTGTGTGTGAACAGCACAGTATGTGGAGGTCCAAGGACAGTCCTCAGATACCTTCCATAATTTTATTGGACAGTGCCTCTCATTGTCCTGGAACTTCCCCATGTAGGGAGGCTAGTTGAACTGTGGGCTTCTAGGGATCTTCCTGTCTCCACCTCCCGTCTTATCATTGGGTAACCAGCATGCACCACCTCACCTTACTTTTTAAGTACATTCTGAGGATCCAAACTCAGGTCTTCAAATTTGCAAGGCAAGCACCATACTAAGTGAGTATCTCCCCAACCCTAACTTAAAGCTTTGCTTTCCTTGCTGATGCCTATATTCCTTGACTCAGTAAACAAAGTGAGGATCCCCATCCTATCTAACTTGGTAGGAACACATGGAGATCTTGTTATTACCTAGACCAATTTTAATAAAGTCAAAGGAGAAGGGACTAGAGATGAATGAGTCTCAGGCAAGAGATTCTATAGATACAGAAAATAAATGGTATGCAGTTTCTGCCCTTGGTGCTTTCTCCTCCCCCTTCTCTTCCTCCTCTTCCCACTCCTTTTTCTTTTACCACCCTCCTTTTCCTCCACTCCATTAGTACATTTGATGACCTCAAGTCTTGCATACATTTTCCATAAATCCATGATATAATCTTGAACTCAAGGATTGGAAATGAGATGCCAGTTTTCTAAAACCAGACTAGATCAGTGCCTCCTCTGGGATCTCCCAGAATTTCCACTACCACACAAATATTGGCCAATGGCATCTAGCTCTGCTTCTCAACTTGTTGGCTATTAGTATATGTGCTCTCTTATACTAGAAAAAAAGCCTAGGTTTTCAGTGTAAACAGAACACTGAGAAACTTTGAACCTCTCTGATGGTTGACTAATTTGTAAGGAGGCTATTGAATCTCTCTGAACCCCTCAATATCTATTCACAGGTGAGAATAAATTCTAGTCCTAGTCTGAATTTGCGAGGAGAAATCCTGCCTCCCCAAAAGCATTTACGGATAAATCCTAGGATCAATAAGCAGATATATTTGCTAAGCACCTGCTGATTGAGGCAGTAGAAAAGGACTAACTAGAAGGGACCAGGGGACAGCGCTGAGTACTGACTGAGCCCATACCGTATTCTCTAATCTTCACTAAGCCTTACTGTAAACATGTGGACTAGATGGAGTAGCTGAGGTGTAGGTAATCAGTAATCAACAGGACTAACCAGTGAATCTCGTGGAGGTGAACTCTACACTGTGTGACCCTAAAACCTGCCCTCTTCCCATGCACAGCCTGCACTGCACAATCATCAGGGGGTTCTCTGGTGCATCTCGCAGCTCGCTCCCAAATTTGCCAGAAGAGACAATCCAACTCTAAGCCACCTATTCCTTCTATTTCAAATGAAAACCACCACAGCCTGCATGAAAACCTACTTTTTATTTCTCTCCCTTCTCTTTCCTCCCCTCCCATTCCCTCCTCTTCTCTTCCTCCTCCTTAGCCTATCTCTTTCTCTGACCAGAAAGAAAGGAAGGCCAACTGTCAATCTCTCCAATCCAATATATGTTTTGTTTTTAACCACAATAAAATAATATATCCAACTTTATATATTTATTGTGACTATAAAAACATTATTATTGGATCAGTGAGATGACTCAGTGGGTAAAGATGCCTGCCACCAAGCCCGAAGACCAGCATTAAATCTCTAGGTTTGACATGATGGAGGGAAAAATTGGCACCTCCAAATTGCACTCTGACAGCATGAGTACAATAGCACACACACACACCACACACACACACACACACACACACACACACACACACTCACAGAGAGAGAGAGAGAGAGAGGGAGAGAGAGAGAGATAGAGAGATCAATGAATAAATAAAGTGTAATAAAGTATAAAGAAAATCCACTTTTAATTTATTTTCAGGGAAGTCACCTGAAATTTAATTTTTAAACATTTAGAGACAAGAATTTCTCAAGAACTATATTCTCTCTCTCTCATTGTGTGGGTATTGTATGTTTATATGTATCTCTCTGTTTGTGTTGTTCCCAATCTGAAGGATAGGCATTTCTTTTCAGGCAAGGTTTCATGTATCCCATACTGGTCCTGGACATGCTATGTAATGGAGGATGACTTAGAACTTCTGGTCTTCCTGCCTCCAACTTTTGAGTGCTGAGATTTCTGACATGTACCACCGTGGTTGGTTTATGAGGTACTGGGAGCTGAACTCAGGGTTTCATACATGCTAGGCAAATCCTCCACCAACTGAAATATCTCCCAGCCCCAACAGGAAATTTTTCTTTGGGCTCTTCTTTCACTGGAAACTTCAACAGATTAGTATTTCTTGGCAATAGAGCTACAGTTAGCCAATAAGGATGTAATTGATATGCTCTAAGATGTTGTAGGTTTATAGAAAGGAAGCTGAGATGAAATTACCCTTTAGATAGCTTTATTAGACAAGCAATAACATCAAGGCCACAAGCAGCTATGATCAGACCCTGAAGGGAGAGAGTCCTCAGATCCAAAGAACAAAGGGGGGGAGGGGTTCTTGAAAGGCAGGTGGATTAAGTTCCATATCACATGACCTAGTCTCTGTACTAGGCAGTAGGAAGGCACTGGTAAATGTCTAGCTGTAACTAAAGACTGGTTCTGGGCAGGAACCAGGGAAGGCCTTGCTTATAGCTGCAAAGGGAAGAGAGAGAATTCAACTGTGTGAGGTCTGCAAGGTCCTGGCAGGGTTTCTTATTAACTCTGCCCAAGGAAAGAGTCCAAATGTGTGTGTGGCCTGATTCTGAGAGAAAGGCCAACTATAGAATCTGTGATCTAATGGTTACATCTAAAAGAAGGACGTCTATAACACCTTGCATTATTTTCCTTTTATTTTTCACCCTTAGGAGGGACATCATCAAGACAGAAAGGCTTTCTTGGATGTATCCGCTCTTTACACTTGAACGGGCAGAAAGTGGACCTGGAGGAGAGGGCAAAGGTCACATCTGGAGTCAGACCAGGCTGTCCAGGTCACTGCAGCAGCTATGGTAGCAACTGCCATAACGGGGGCAAGTGTGTGGAGAAGCACAGTGGCTACTCCTGTGACTGCACCAACTCACCATATGAAGGGCCCTTCTGCCAGAAAGGTATGCTAGATGTGCATGTTGCATGCCACATTCCATGGTTAAACTGATGTCTTAGACCATCTACTCCAGATCTATCATGTGTGATGCTGTGGTAGCCCCATGCGTTGTTCAAACCAATGGTCCCAGGCCTTAGGCAGCACACGTTGTGTACTCTCACTGAAGTCTCTTCTGTTTAGACTTTGCTTAGCCTGTCAACACAGTCATATCTGGCAATTGTCCTTATGTGTGTTTAGTGGCAGTTATGCTGGGAGATAATTGAAAGCTACACACCATACAGGCTGAGGGACCAGCTGAAGACCAGAAGTGGATTCCTCTAATTCTTTAGTGACATACTAATATTTCTGCTTCTAATTTCTCAATTAAGAAATGTGCCAAAGGATCGTAGAACTAATTGTCATAGGAACTGAAGAGACATTTAAGACATCTTCATTTTTGTTTGCAAGAGTACATGTCAATGAATAGAAAGTGTTATGTAGCTAGCGAAATCTTGTTCCTTAAGTGATATAAGGGCAGGTGTAAAAGTCCAGCTTGGGGTTCATGTGCTCCTTCTCTTGGATAGGATACAGAATACAATTCCTATGCTAGAGGTCTTTCCATACTGCAGATCCAACCTAGTGAATTAACTACATTGATAAAAGCTAATTATGATCAATATACACTTTGGAGAAGGAGGGATATGCATGGTATGAATGTTCTAGATAAAGTCTAAGTAATTCTACCCACTACAGAATCTCACAGTTCAGAAAATATGGTCAACAATTCCCAAATATCAAAACAGAAGGTTTGTATACTCTCAAGCTTATAGTAATTTAGAGATTATTTTATTGCCAGAAAAATCTTTGCAGAGCAAGCAACTAATGTGAACCAGATTTCAAGAATGACATTTAAAATACTAAAATAAAATGTTTTTATCACTGTAGAATAAAATGTGCATGAAAGCAATGATAGAAAATTCTAAATAACTTTTTTCAATTCAATAAAATATACATTTTTATGTATGCATATTTGCATGTGTATAGGTGTCTATGTATGTACGAGTGTATGTGCTTTTGGAAACCAGAGGATAACCTCAGCTGCTGTTTCTCAAATACCATCTGCCTTGTTTTCTGAGACAGGGTTTCTCATTAGGGTAGAACTTCCCAGGAGGTTAAGGTGGCTGGCCAGCGAGACATGGGAATCTGACTCTATCCAACTCCCCAGCACTCAGATTACAGATACATGCTGCCATGCCTGGCTTCTTTTAAAACATGGGTTCTGGGCATCAAACTTTGTCAATTATTTACAAACTAAGCCATCTCCTCAGTGCTAAAACATATTTCTCTTCTACCAAGCAATCTTTCATTTGGCACAAATCTGGAATTTAAAGACAAAAGAGCAACAACAAAAAAGTATCAGTGCTTCCCTAGGAAGAGTCTGTCACTGAAATCCTCCCCTCATTCATTTTGGCCTTCTCTAAAGTTAGTTGAATTATTTACTACTTGTGGGGAGTGCATGCTAAACTCCTTGGCAATAAAATAATGGTACGAATTTCAGGACTAACTGAGTACTAAGTCATGAATACATCAAAATTTGAAATGAAGAAAATAGGCCCCATACAAACAGCTCTTCATTGAAGACAAAACTTCTTATTTTTAAAATTATATTGATTTATTTGAGGGGGGGATGGTAGCAGGTGCCATGGAACACATGTATAGGATTGAGGACAATTTTTGCGTAGGTGGGTTCTCTCCTTCCACCATGTGGATCCTGGGACTCAAACTTAGATTATTAGGCTTGGTGGCAAGTATCTTTCCCCTCCGAGCCATCTCACTGGCCCAAAAACTTTTGCAGACATGAAGCATTAGACCCATGGACTCAGAGCAGCTGTGGCTGCCTGCAAGAGACTACAAAAGGTCAGGTCTGTCAGTATTTAAGCATAGATGGGGAGAACATCTCAGGGGGCCACACGACTAGCTGAGGAACTCTCAATAGATGATGGTTGTTCATTGAGAAGGAGTCAGTTTTCTTCAGGTATGTGGCCCCTGGTAGGTTGCGCATGCTGCAGTGGGTAGTCTTACACCCACGTACACGTGGGTGTCACTAACTGGACTCAGTGGGTTATGAAAGAAGGAAAGAAGGAAAGATAGGGAAGAAGGAAGGAAAGACAGAAAGGAGGGAGGGAGAGAAGGAAGGAAAGAGAAAGAAAGAGAGGGAGAGAGAAGGAAGGAAGGAAGGAAGGAAGGAAGGAAGGAAGGAAGGGAGAGAGAGAGAAAGAAGGAAGGAAAGAAGGAAAGAAAGAGAAAGAAAGAAGGAAGGAAGGAAAGAAAGAAAGAAAGAGAAAGAAAGAAAGAAAGAAAGAAAGAAAGAAAGAAAGAAAAGAAAGAGAAGATAAGCAGTTGGGAGGGAAGTGTGTTTTGGAAGGGGTCATGAAGAGGTTCTGGGAGGGAATGGCAAAAAGAAATAGTCAAAATATGTTGTATATGTGCATAAAATTCTCAAAGAATAAATGGATATATTTTAAAAGACTTTGTAGACAGAAGTGCTACTAAGTTTTCACATAGTTTTCCATCTATCATCTTTACTAACACCACAAGCTCAGAAACAGGCCCTTGGCATTCAGCAGACTTAAGGATCCATGTGGGAACAGGAGGTTAGTGGATTTGATTCTTACAGTCAGAACCGGAGATCTTTTGGTCAATTTGGTTTGAAACTTTGCTGCAGCATTTTTTAAGAACCTCATTTGTGGTCCTGATTTCTTTCTGTAAAAATATATGCTAATAGAAATATCTCCTCCGGGGGCCTAGAGAGATGGCTTAGAAGTTAAGGGAAATGGCTATTCTTACAGAGAGCCTGGGTTCAGTTCTCAACACCCACATGACAGCTAACAACTATCCCTAACACCAGTTTCAGGAAATCTAATGCCCTCTTCAGGTCTCTTCATGCATTGTATGCACAGATGCGCTTACATACATGCATGTAAAGCACTTAAACACACAAAATAAAAATAAATTTTAAAAATTCAGAAAAATACTTATCCAGATATGTGGCCTTTTGTTTTTATGCTTTTCTTGCTGTGAGGTTTTTAGGTAGATTCAAATCCTGTACAATGAAATCTACTGTGATCTATCAGGCCCACCAATGTTTACTGATACGTATTTGTGTCTGTAATACCACTCCAACATTAATAGATTGATCAGTGTGGCAGTTATATGCTGTGCTTAGATAATTTTTTCAGTTAAAAGTATTAGATAATAAGTGGGAAATTGATTTGTATGCCTAGAAATATTGAAACCCAATCTTGGGGCTAATGGGATGGTTCTGAGATTGAGTGCTTGCTACTGTTGTAGAGGACCGAGTTTCCAGCACCACACTTCAGATGGCTCACAGCTCTTATAACTCCAGCTCCAGAGAAATCCAGTGCCATCTTCTGGACTCTGCAGGCCCTTCCACACATACGCATACACACAGAAACATAAATAAATAATAAATCATTTTAAAATGTCTAACCCAATTACACAAAGACAGTCATTAAAAACTATTTGTTTACATTTAATACAGCAGAGTTCACAGTTTCTATTTTATTTGTGTCATAAGTTTTCTTTATTTAATTTCATAAATATCCTTGAATATGTCGTAAATGTTTGTAAGCATCAGTTTCTACCGTCATGATGTTTTCTAAATCTCTTCTCTCGTTTCTTCATTTTATCACCAGATCTCTGTAGCAATAGTCTGCGTCTGGCAAGATCCAAACCTAGGTTCAGATGCTCATTCATTTACCACTGGTCATGTGAGAGAGTAACCATGTACTTAGACTCTGTCTTTTATTTACCACTGATCATGTGAGACAGTAATCTGTAATGTGCTTAGTCTCTAACTTCTTTTGTGAGGTTATTTTTTTTGCATTCTCCCTGTAGACCCAGTTGCCCTAGAACTGGCTATATAGATCAGGCTGGCTTTGATCTCACAGAAAGCAGAGATCTACTGCTTCTACCTCCTGAGTACTGGAACTAAAGACATGTGCCACCATGCCTTGCTTCTAAGTTATTTCTCATTTATGAAGTGTGGAAAAGACAGGAGTTTTTCAGAAGGAGTCATATTTAGCATTCAGTGAACTCTTCACATGGTACTTGAGAGAGCCGCTCTCAACCCCCTACATAGAAAGTCCCAGTGAATGTTTGCTGTTACTATTGTTTGGAAATTTTAGACTACCCCTATGCAAAATAAAGATAAAGTTGAAATTCACCAATTTTTTTTAGATTTTATTCACAAGTAATCTATGGAGTGCTATGGAAATGGCTCAATTAGGAAAATACTTGACTTGTGAGCACAAGAATTAGGTTTGATCCATAGTACCCACATTAAAAAAAATCTATACTAGATAGAGTGTGCTGCAATTCCATCACTGAGGAAGCAGAAGCAGGCAGATCCTGGGGAGCTCTCTGGCCAACCAGCCTAGCCTACTTGATGAACTCCAGGCCAGTGAGAGACCCTGTTTGAGAAACAGTGAATGCCACCCAAGATTGATTACCACACACACACACACACACACACACACACACACACACACATGTACACACACAAATAAATACACACACATACAAACTTGTACACACAGATGTGCACATCTACCCAAACACACACATCCCAATAAAAATTAAAAGATAAAAGCAGTCTATGATAAACAGAATTTCTTGGGAATGAAATCTCAGCAAAAAATAGCCTTGTACAATCAGGTTCCTTTTACATGCTACCTAAATCCTGTCTGAAATTGTTTAACATGCATGAATTTTGCCTTATATGTGGACAGTGAAGACATGTCTTGCATCAGAGAGATGAGTTTAAGAAACATCGAATGTCTGGCTTCAATAATTACTAATTCATGGTCAGGTCCATCTCATTGGTACACTCATATCCAGTCCTGAGTCTACTCATTGAAGCAAATCTTAGTTGTAATAGTATTTTCTGTATATATAATACAATGTTGCCAAAAAATGCTCATTAAAAACATATGCACAGGGCCA